ATACGTCATTTCATAATTTCTTGTCCAATGCACGTAATCCACAATTGAACAGTTTTTATCTGAATCCCACTAATTCAGTGGAAATTGAACAAATAATTGGTAATTTAAATCCGAATAAAGTTACTGGCCCATACAGTATTCCCACTAAATTAATTGTATGCTTAAAATCACTTCTCAGCGTCCCTCTGAATATTCTGTTTAATTGTTCATTTGAAACAGGAGTTGTGCCAGACAAATTAAAAGTCAGTAGGGTCATTCCTATTTATAAAAATGGTTCTCATTTGGATATGTGCAATTTTAGACCAATTTCACTTCTTTCTATTTTTGATAAAATTCTTGAAAAACGTATGTATAATAGGCTAATAGAATACCTGGAGAAATTTAAAATATTAAGTGACAATCAGTTTGGATTTAGATCTTCTCATACTACTACACAAGCTGTTATGATTATAACTGATAAAATTAAAATGGCTATTGAGGATAAATGTTATGCTTGTGGTATTTTTCTGGACCTAAGAAAAGCCTTTGATACTGTTGATCATGGCATCCTCCTTGCTAAACTTGAATATTACGGAATCAGGGGGATTGCTGGTAAATGGTTTTGTTCTTTTTTAAGTAAAAGAAAGCAATTTGTTAAAATAGGCGATGAGACCTCTAATTACCAGTCAATCACATGTGGTGTTCCACAAGGTTCAGTTCTTGGACCATTGTTGTTTCATATATACATCAATGACTTAAGTGGGTCGTCAACTGTGGTTGATTTTCATCTTTTTGCGGATGATACAAATCTTATTTTTCCCATAAAAATTTACAAACAATGGAAAGTATCATAAATTACGAGCTAAGTAACATAAATACATGGCTATGTTCAAATAAGCTATCATTAAATATTGAAAAAACTAATTTTGTAATTTTTAAACCTCATCAAAGAAAGATTAACTACTCTATGAAGTTAATTATTAATAATAAATTAATAAAGCACGTTAGGAGTGTTAAATATCTAGGAGTTATGTTGGATTGCCACTTAAATTGGAAGGATCATATTTCAAGTATTTGTAAAAAGCTGTCTAGAGGTACAGGTGTTTTATGCAAACTCCGTCACTTTGTAACAACTAAAATTCTAATCCAGTTATATTATTCTATTATATATCCTTTCCTTATATTTGGCTGTACGGTGCGGGGTATGATTTATAATACGAATATTCAACCTATTTTTCTCTTACAGAAAAAGATTATTCGTATTATAACTTTTTCTAAATTTGACGCACATACTAATCCTATATTTCATAAATTAAAACTACTAAAAATAAATGAAATAATTAAGTTATATATTGCAATTTTTATGTATCAATATGTACAGGGTATGTTACCTAACGCTTTTGATTCTTTTTTCACAACTACTAATAGTATGCACGATTACAGTACCCGACTTGCTTTGAAATCTACTTTTCACCTTCCAAAAATAAGAACTAATTTTGGTAAATTTAATATTAGATATTTTGGATCGAATGTCTGGAATGGCATTGAAGATTCCTTGAAGTCTCTTACTTTTTCTCGATTTAAGAGACAGTTAAAGGAATCTTATCTTAAATTATATGAAACGACTTGATCTGCATCGTTTTTTTCTTTTTTTAATTTGATTCTTGTAGTTGCATGCTTTCCTTTTGTGTGTGAGTTACGTAGTGTAGTTACACCTTGTTTAAATTCCTCATCTAAATTTTATATTCAAATATTATAAGAAACCTGACTAGTTTAGCTTTAAAGTTATTTCAGGTTTCCTGTCACTATTATTGTTGTCTGTTCAAACTCTATGTATGCTCGTATTGTAACTTCTAGTGTGAATACATTTTTTGTTTGTTTGTTGTTTGTTTTTGTTTGTTTTACCAGAGTGCATAACACCAGGAAGAAGTCAATGTTGGATGATAAAACGATAAAACTATATTAAGATTTTGTTGGCATCTCACTCGATTGAATAATAGTTTAAGGGTTTTGTAGGTGGAAATTATCGAGTGGAAATTTATATACAGTGCATTTATTATAGACTTAACCAGGAACAGTTGCGAAAAATACGACTATAGGTCCCTGGCAGGAATCGAACCTGCGGTCCTGTGAATCCGATGCAGTGCTTTGACCAACTGAGCAACACAGCTCAGTTGTCGAGCTCTAACCACAAGACTACTAAATTGAATTAGAGTGATATAAAATTGATAAGATTTTTTATGCCTTTGCAACAACGATTCCTCGCTCTGCTTAATAGTCTAACTGTTCCTCTCGTTTAAGGTCAGAATTCTGGTTAGAGTTCTACACCTGGCCTCTGTAGCTCAGTTGGTTTGAGCGCTGTACCGGAATCGCAGGGCCGCGGGTTCGATTCCTGCCAGGGACCTGATTTTTATTCCATGCGTGGTTCGAACAGGCGTGCTTGTTTTGGCTTCGTTTTAAAATTACGATGTGAAAAACACAACTCAAACTGAATTCACAATGGATTTGTGGGTTCTGCGCTATTAGAAAACAGAAGTTTTTTCAGGATTCCTAATAATGGTGATGAGGGGATGTTGTAGTTTAGATAAAGCCGGGGATTTCACTGCGGGGTTCGACATTTCGACTATTTATAATACGACTCACGAGATGATCAAGATTTTTTGCAAAACAACTGCGTTCGTCTGTATGCTTAGAAGATGAAAATATAGATAAGTTTTCAAACGGCTGTTGTCATGTATGTGTTTGGAAATCAGATATGCCAAATTAAATGTGTTTTTGAATTTTTCGTGTTAAATCAATCTCGTTCCCAGAGTATGCCTGTTCGCGGGTTAGGTTGTGGCATGACCACAGGGGGCCCCACTATGAGTTATGATTGAAATAGTATTGTATTTATTTTAAAAAACTTACTTGAATCCCTTGATAATCGATTATTTCTTCTCTCGAAGTTCTGTAAACATTTTCACTGCTTTGAGTCATTATACTATCACCCTACATGACGTTTCACGAAGTACAGATGATCGCTGACAAGTAAGGACCCTCCCATCTTTCGTCGCCTTCGTCTTTTCGCGCCCGCGGTCCTTACTTGTCAGCGATCATCTGTACTTTGTGAAACGTCATGTAGGGTGATAGTATAATGACTCAAAGCAGTGAAAATGTTTACAGAACTTCGAGAGAAGAAATAATCGATTATCAAGGGATTCAAGTAAGTTTTTTAAAATAAATACAACACTATTTCAATCATAACTCATAGTGGGGCCCCCTGTGGCATGACTCACAGGGGGCCCCACTATGAGTTATGATTGAAATAGTATTGTATTTATTTTAAAAAACTTACTTGAATCCCTTGATAATCGATTATTTCTTCTCTCGAAGTTCTGTAAACATTTTCACTGCTTTGAGTCATTATACTATCACCCTACATGACGTTTCACGAAGTACAGATGATCGCTGACAAGTAAGGACCGCGGGCGCGAAAAGACGAAGGCGACGAAAGAAGGGAGAAAAGAAAGGGTTGAAACTTCGACGGGTTATCGTTTGATGTGTTCCATAAGTAGGTTGTTCTCCGGCGATTTCCGAACATTTTTCGCTGATCTCAGCAGAAACGAGAATGAGAATACGCGGGAAATTTAAAATGGCGGAACGAATAGCATTAGGAGATATACACCAGAATAAAAATGTTCAGCACAACAATAAAAACGAACTGAAAACATATTCAATTATAAACTGGTAAGTATT